TCAGTGTTTGGCTTTTGAAAGGTGAGATATGTGGCTCTCTTCCTCCCCCATGTCAATCCTCGCACACAAGCAAGACAGTAGGCTCGTGTGTCTGATGCTTGGACTCTCTCTGTAGTCATTTGGCACTAAAAATTATCTGCAGAGAAAAGTACTGGGCTCCACACCTGGGTCTTAATTTCCTCCCTCACCAAACCATTATTACTAATTACCGCTCCTAGGTGTTTAGACCATTTAAATGATGCTGTTAAATGCCTGGTGTTAATTTAACAGCCAAGTATCTGGGTTTCCCCACGTGAGAAGCTCTCAGAGCGTCACCCACAGAAGCAAAACCCAGCCAGCCCTGGCTGTGGTCTATACAAAAGAGGCAGCAGAGGAGCAGCAAGCACGCGTTAACGACACACCCACCAGTGCCAGGAGCTGGACATTACTCAGCAGGAAGCACTCCCTCGCCCCGTACGGTCCCCCAAAAGGAGCCCCCACTTTGGCCATGCTGCCTCGGTGGTGAGAGAAGACCTGGCACTGCTTCCAGTGCTGTCTGACATCCCTTGGGCAGAGTATGCCCTCCCGAGCTCGGATCCTATGCCAGAGCCATCCTTGGGGACTGCTTCAGCATCTGAGTGGGGCAGCACACTCCCTGCCTGCCTTCCACCCATCTCTGGCCAGCATTTGAGAGTGTGTCCTCAGATTTAGAGGAGGGGGCTGTCAGAAATCAGCCCCGTGCAGGGCTGGGCACTGCTTTCCTCCAATACCTGAAAGCACAGAATGGCCATTTCCCCCAGAGAGGTGCCGGGGCTGGGGCGTGACAGCGACCTGGCTGAAGGCATCAGACCAGGCTTTGCCTTCTGCATCTCTGTTCTTGATGCGCTGCAAAGCGCCTGCTGGCTCTCTTCTCCCACTGTTGGGGCTTGGGACTGGGGCAAGGGGACTTTTCCAACCCAAATACTTTAACTGACCTCTCAGTCACAAGTCTTCAGCATCCTCAGGACCTCAGCGGCTCAGTGCTGTGGAGGAGAAGACTGTGGTGCCTTGCTCACCCCTGGTATACCCAGGGCCTTCCAGAGCATGCAGCCAGCACTGGGAGAGACAGGCAAGTGGCATGGTGAGCACTGGGACCCAGGAGGGATACTGGCTAACATTTTAGGGTCTCGCACTCACCCCAGTGTTAATGCGCCCTGGGAGAATGAGGGGGAATGAGGGCTCCCACCCACGCACAAGCCCTTTGCTTTCAATGCTGCTCCTTTAAGACATCACTTAATGTGACAGATTAATTAGTTAATGTTTGTAAAGTGCTTTGAACATGAAAAGTGCTGTATAAGTGCTGAGTATGAGTATTAATTATTATGGCATGGAGACTGGCCCTATCTGAGCAGCATTCCCCAAGCCTAATTTCAGGCTGGTGCTGTTTCGCTGCCTCTCCTGCTCCTCTGCCCCATCCTGTAAAAGCCAGAAAAAGAAGGGGAGAAACAGAGAGGAAAAAGCAAAACCATCTGCATCCTGTGAGGAAGGAACACCTCACGGAGTCGTGTAGGGGGGCTGAGACCTGCACCCCCTCCACTCTGGGAAGGGTATCACATGGGAAGTGGAGCTGCATTTCTCCGGTGCCCCTCTGGCATGGGCAGAGAGGAGGGGGGTGGCGAGGGAGCACACTCTTGCCCCCACCTCTGCAGCAGGCTGGGATTGGAAACATCTCAGGGAAGATGGAGAAGATGTGGGGTGGTTCTCCAGCTCATCCCACCCATGCCTGGGTGGGGGCACCCAGCACTGGTGGCCGCTTCAGAGCTGGGCAAGGGGATGAGAAGGGGGTGAGAAGGTTTGGGGGTCTGTGAGCTAGACAGGGTGGGGAGGTGGCTGCGTCCTAGACGTGTGCATGGTACGACCGGGAGCTCCCCAGCGTCCCCCCGCAGCCGGCGCCTGGCCCGCTTTGCTGCCTCTCCCCCCTCCTCACGCCCTCCTTCTTGGCGAGGCTGCTCCTGGGAAGGGTCCCGGAGGAGAAGCAGAAATGGGGCGGCAGATGCCCCCAATTATCTCGGCGGTGAAGCTTCCCGCCAGCTGGCCCATGAATTGTGTGTGCCGACGGGCAGGCTGGGGAGGTGCGGGGTGGGTGTGAGGCGCTACGGGGGACCCAAAGGAGAGGGGGGACTTGGAGGGGCTGGGTGGGCCGCGCTTTGGAGGGGTTTTGTCACTCAGGTGGCTGCCTTCCCTGTCACCCCTCTGAGCTGGTGGTGACAGGGTCTGGGGGAGGGGGGGATCCCGGTCTGCTCCAGAAAACCATGGAAGGTCCCATGGCAAGCGGGAGGCCAGCGGAGGGTGAGAGGATCTCGGCACGTTGGTGACACCCCTGCTGCCAGCGGTAGGGCTGGAGGTGAGGGGACACACCAGGACCCGGATCCCCTTTGCAGGGCTCCTGCCTCCCTGATCTGCTGCTACCTCACCCGTTCCCGACCCCGCAGCTCCGGCTGTGAGTAAGCCCCTGCTCCGTCCTCTGATGCTGAGCATTTTCACCAGGTAGCCACTGCCAACCCAGCTACTGAGGAAATCGCCAGAAATCACGAGTGGCTGAACAACCCCCCAAAACACTAGGCACACTTTCTTTTCTCTTTCCTTTTTGAGCCCTCGAACCTGTGAGAATGCTGAGCTCGCCAGCGGTTTTTGGTTTGCCACCTCAAGAGCCACTACATCGGGTGGGAGTTGGGGCATCGTCGTTTGTGGAAACACCACCCTGGGAGGAACGGGACAGGAGCAGCAGTGCTGGGGGCTGGAGCAGATGTTTGAGAGGGCAGCAGGGAAAGCCCACACGTGTGACTTGAGTTTACCTGCACTTACTTCAAAAAACGTTGTGGCAAACCCCTCTTCTCTTGCCTCGTCCTTCCTCCTTGTATCTTGAAGACCGGCTTGAGAAGAGCAGTTGAAGCAAGACCACCTGCTGAATTGCCAAAGAGGACAAAACCGTCTGCAAGAGTTGACACTCTTGCTACGTGCTTTCCAGGTACTCCTCCAGCACAGTGGGACAATAAATCCCCCCCAATAAATCCACATAAACGAGGACCAAGTTATATATAAAAAAAAAATCTTTATTTCATGTACCAGGATTTTTTTTTTTTTTGTCATTTTCTCTTTTTAAAATTTTTTTTCTTTTTAACAGTCTGAAAAAAACCACAAAATAAAGAAAATGGAGGTCGGTTTCTTGTACTGGTTTGAGCTGGACATGAGCAACACCCGCAGAAAAAAGCTCCCCCGCCAGCCCTCACTTCCCGCAGGCGCTTTCCCCATCCCGCCTGGCCCCGGGGGGGGGGTGAGCCCTGCCCTGTGAATGCTCCCCAGCTCCACGGGGCATCGGGCGGGCGAGGGCGGCTGGGGATGTAAACCCCAACGCCGCCTTCCCTCTGTGCCGGGGTCCGGGAAAACGGCTTTAACTTACTCCTTGGGGGGCATTGGGAGCGGGGAGGGTTCCCCCGTGAACCTTTTTGAGAGGACTGGGAGGGGGGCGATCACGGGAGGGGATTTCAGCAGTGAGGGGGTCTGGGCACCCGGCCAAGCCACTCGCATCCTCCTCTTGCCCTGTGATGATGTTTTTTGGGGGGTGACCCCCTCCCACTGCTGCCCCCCCCCCCCCCCCCCCCCCCCGCCCTGCCCCGGAGCAGGGAGGAAGGGGGTTACAGCAGTGGAGGGGGGGGTGCAGGGACGATCAGGCTGCTTTTAAGCAGAAACCCCGCTGGGACCCGAAGCGGGGGACTGCGCGGCTCCCAAAACTGGAGCGGCAGGAACAGGGACGGAAAAAAAAAAAATCGAAAAGTGGGTCTGAGCTGCCGGAGGGCTCAGCAGCCCCATCCTGCAAACCCTCGGCCTCATGCCTTGCCACTTTTGGGGAGCAGCCCCGAAAATGGGCCCTGTCCTTGCCCTGAGCTGGCTGGCGGGCTCACGGGGTGTCAGAGAGCCCCCCCCCCCCCCCGCTCCCCTGCCCCCCGCCTCCCCCCCCGCCTGTATCCACAGCGGCCACTGTGTGTGTGTGGGGGGGAGCGGGGTTAAAAATGATTCCTGGCCCCCCCGCAGGTGCCCAGGGAGGGGGCTGCGGCCAGGCCAGGGGTCTGGGAGGGGGCGGGGGGGCATGGCGGGGGCCCAGGTGGCTTCGCTGCTGCAGGTGAGACCACAGCAGGCTGGGACACACACCCACCCCATCACACACACCCACCCCCCACACACCCCCCCCCCGGCAATGGGGGGACGAGGACAAAACGCAGCGGGAGTGGAGACGCCCGACGGCTTCGCACCTCTCGCTGGCATGGCTGCTGGGACTCGGGGGGGGGGGGGCTCAGGTGTGTGGGGGGGTCCTCTGTGGGGTGGGAGCTGGAGGGGTACGTGTGTCAAGACCCATCGGCCATCAACCAGCTTTGGGTCAGGGCGGGCTGGCTCTGCCCAGGGCAGGGACAGGAGCGATTTTTTTTGGGGGGGGGGCGGAGCGGCTGGATGGTCCTTGCCGTGCCCCCACACGGCTGCAGCCCCAACCGGCAGGACCTAAAGGGGATCCGGGCCGATTTCGGGGGGTGCGCGGCCGCCCTGGGGAGCCTCCGGAGCATTCACAGGAGAACGTGCGCCCGCCTGGGCACGCGTGTGCGGTGAGCGCGGACACGCGTGTGCACGAGTGCCGCCCCCCCCAACGCCCCCCCCCCCCCAGCCAACCCACCCCCCCCTCGGCACGCTGCCCTCGCCTTTTGCCTCCCATGCCCCCCCCCCGCCCCCAGCAGCATCCTGAAGAGATGGGAGCCCCGGTTTCCCTCCACCAACCCCCCACCCTCTGCCTGTGCCTCCCACCCCACTCCTCGCTCTCTTTTTTCTCTTTTTTTTTTTCACAGTTTAAAACTGGAGAAAACAAAAATGAAAAGAAAAAAATACTATCTGTTTTTCTTGCAAGTAAATCCACTTATTATATTTACATTTATTTATAGCTGTTGTTTTATTAAAAAAATTGCCACTTTTTTTTTTTTTTTTAAGAAACCTTTTTTTTTTTTTTGTCCTTTTTTTGTCTGTGTGTCTGTGTGTGTGTGTCTCTTTATTTACTGTGTCTGTTTGCTTTTTGCACTGTCACCATTAACCCCAGGGTCCCCAGGGCCGGGGAGGTGGGGAACCCCCCCAGGGACACTGCGGAGAGGTGACTCAGCATCGGCTCCTGCACCCCCTAGGGACAGGAGTCACTCTTAAACCCTACGGACCCACGGGGGATGAGCGGATCCCGGGGGAACAGAGCGGGTCGCTGTTGACCCCGGCACCCTGGGACCCTCTGTAACTGGCCCAAGGACACCAAAGCTGTCCCCTGAGGAGCCCGTGCTGGGTTAAAGGTAAGTGGGAAACGAACTGTAAAATTAAAGAATAAAACCCCCCAAAATCCAAAGAGCTGCCTCCTCCTCCTCCTCCCACTTGATTTATTGTCATTTGTTACTTCTTGGTTCCCTTTTATTTTTTTTTTTAAGTCTGTTTTTATTAAATGTTAAAATAATGGTACATGGGAAATCATGCATTTTCTTTTAAATTTATTTCTATTTTTTAAATCTCTCTCAGTTTTAAAGTTTTTCTTTTTTTTCCTTTTTTCTTTTTCTTTTTTTTTTAAGAATTTTTTCACTGTTGTCTCTTTCCTCGTGTTTCCTTTTCATTTGTTTATTTGTGTTTTTTGTTCGCTCGCTTGCTTGTCTGCTTATCTGCTTGTTCGTTGGTTGTTTTTTTTTGTTGTCTTTTTTTTTTGTTCTTTTGTCTGTTTTTTTTTTTGTGGATTTTTTTTTTAAATTTTTTTTTTTTTTTTTTTTTTTTTTTTTTTGCGTTGGGAAGGTCCCTACCCCCCCAAGGGGTGCTTCCACCTCCTTCTTCCCATCGCCCTGCTGCCCCCTGCCCCCTTCCATCCTCCCCACCCCGCAGCCCACCCCGTCTCCTCCTGCCTGCTCCTGCCCCATTTTCAGCTCCTGGCGACGGCTTCATACCGGGGTGGTCCGGCGGTTGGCTGTGTTGGTGTGGATAGAGTCCTTGTTCTCTTTCTGGATACAGTTGTGAACCTGGAGGAAACTGTTATCCCTGTCGGAGTTGTAGGTGGCGGTGGGGGTGGTGGTTGCCTTCAGCGGGTCCCTGGTCAGGGTGTACATCGAGATCTCTGTTGATGGGAGGGTGTTGAACCCTTTGATCCCGACAGGAGAGGCATCCCTGGAGTGTGAAGGCTCGGTGGAGCGGGAACTGGAGCGGCTGCGTCTCTGATAGCGATACCGGTAGCTGGGGATGCGGGTGATGGCGGAGGACTGGAGGTAGTCCGTGGCACGAGCGTTGGCGCGCAGCTGTTTGTGCCGGTCTATGAACATGTGGACGGCCAGCACTCCCACCATCTCGGCTATAATGAAGGACAGGGCCCCGAAGTAGAAGGACCAGCCGTAGGAGTAGCTGTTCTTCTTGGAGTCGCTCTTGGAGGGGTCTCCAGCGTTGGCTGATATGTATACGATGATGCCAATTATATTACTCAGACCTGCCAGCCGGCCGGCGGGGGAGAGAGAGGGAGATGTCAGGAGGGTCACACGTGGTGGTGGCGGGGGGCTGTGGGGTTGAGCCCCCGAGAGCTGGGGACGGGAGGGCCCCCAGCCACCCATTCCCTCCCGGTGGGCAGCTTTCCGTGGGAAATCCAGGCAAGACTCTTCTCGCGTGCATGCCACATCCCTGGGCTGCGCTCCTGGCTGGTCCCTGAGAGATGCTGGCTGCAGGGGAACCCTGTCCCTCTGGAAGCTCCCAAACAGCAGGAAAGCCCCCTGCCCTCAGGACCCTGCCTGCCCGCCCCTGCCAGGCGAGCAGGCAGGGCGGAAAGGCATCCTTGGGAGGCAGCTTTCATCCTAAATAGATGCTCATCAGGGCTGGGAAACACATGCACTCCTGCCTAGGCAACCGTGCCCTTGCAGGATGCGGCGGCTGGGCAGCCCCCCCCACCCGCTGGAGCCCATCGCTGGGGCGTCAGGCCCTGTGCATCTCTTTACCTGCGGACACGAAGAAGATGCCGGCACTAAGGATGATGTTGTGTCGGGTTTTGTAGAACTCGCTGGCTGCAATGCAGAGTCCACCCATGAAAAGCAGAATGACACTCAGGATCGGGAAAATACTAGAGGCTCTAACAGCCCCTGCAGAGGAGAGAGGGAGAAGGGACACAAAGAAGAGCGCAGGTGTGAGAGAGAGGAAAAAGGAGCACGGAAATGGCACCAGGGCGAGGGGACAAGGAGACATGAGCACATTCCGTGGGTGGGGGCGAAGGGGAGAGACGGAGGGCAACGTGTGGCGGGGAGTAATTCAAGGAGGGGGACAGAGGGAGGGAGAGAGAAACAAAGTGTGTCAGAAAAAGAGGGCAGTCCAAAGCAACTCTCCTCTGCCCTGGCCCTGCTGCGAAGCCCGTGGCCCGGCGTGGGGAGGTGGAGGGGGCTGCAGGGCCTGTGGCTGAGATGGGAGCCTGCCCGTGCTGCCTGTCCCCCCTCATGTGTTTGTCTTTTCCTTTGCTTTCTTGGGGGACTACAGGCTGGAGGGGGAGCCCTGGCACCACCCGGCTTCCCCTCCTGTGGGGCACTGCCGCTCCAGCCCGCTCTTTAAAGAGCAGCAACCCGAATGCTTCCCACAGAGCTGCTCAACCTCGAATCCTCCCAAAAGGGCATGAGCGTCTCAAGGAGAGATTTCTTTTTTTTTTTTTTTGTTTAGGGCTGTGAAGGAGCTCCTGGTGCCATGCAGTGCTCTGCGGCCGCAGTGAGGACCGAGAAACGAAAGTCCCAGCCCTGCGTGCCGAAACATGGGGGCTATCCTAGTGATTAAACGACTGGGCTTCTTCCAGAGGGCAGTGATGGGTTCAGATGTGCCAGCTCCCACACACGCACACTCTCCACCGGTCGATATGGGAAGAGCTCAGCCAGCAGAGGGCAATGGCATAGGTGCACATATATGCTCATACACTCATGCAAAACATACCCCAAAGCTTCTGGGGGAGCTCTCTCGTATTCACACAGCGAAAGGGCAGGACTGTGTATACACACACCCACGCACACACGCACACACTGCTCGTGGGCTGTTCAGTGGGTTCCAACAGTCTGCCTGAGTTTGTGTTGCCAATATCTTGTAACTAGGAAGGTCTTCCCTCCTTCTTTCCCAAGAGAAAGTAAGCTGTTAAAGTGTGAAACAAAGCCTTGCTTGATAAACATATCAGATAGGCTGGTGCAACTCTGCTTGTGGAACAAAGATCTGAAAGGGGGGGATGAAAGCTAACCCCTTGTTGCCTGCAAGAATGAACCCTACCGAAGCAAGCGCAGGACTTTTTCCTAAGGAGGCAGAGACCGTTCTTCAAAGACCCTGTTGGCATCAGGATCCTACCAGGCACAAGCAATCAGCTATTTCAGGGGGGCCTTAGTCTGCTGTCTGTGCATGGGGAATGCAAAAGGCAAGGAGAAACCTTTCTTGCTTGCTTTCCAGTTCTGCCTGGCTGTGTTTCAGGGAACAGGATAGTGATAATAACCATCTTAATAGCTTCTGGAAAGCAAGGCAGGATTTGACAATGTGAAGCTTAAGTGGCAGTAAGCAAACATCAATCAGACGTCGGCTGTTCAGAGGGTTTCTAGAGGGATGCTTGGTCAGTCCTGCAGCCTGGCCCCGACCACATCAACTTTATCTCGGTCTTAATTTTGAAATTCACATCAGTTGGGAGAACACAAAGTTGCCGGCTGACATGGGGAGCCGTGGGTATTTCGTGATGGAGGAGGAGATCAGCCTCACTCAGCCCCTCCTTCCTGCCCCTCGCCAGCAAGAGGGGGGCAGAATCTCATCCAGTCTTCCTGGGTCCAGAGCTTTTGGTCTAAAGAGAAGGGGAATCATGATGGTGTTGGGATGCTCCCTCATACCATCTATCGACGCTCTAACTCGAGTGCCTTCTAGCAAAGAAACACAGGGATGACTGCTCCCTCTCTGACAACGGGCATTTCATTTCAAAAAGACTAAGACGCCTTATGTGGACGTCTGGCAGAAATGAAGTCTTAGCCAGGCCATGGACATTGCCCCACAATCACGCTGGTCCCCTGAATGAGGGACTTGCCTAGTCTCATACTAATAAACAGCTTCCTAGCTGTTCTTGCCAGTACCGCCAGACATTGCCCATGCAGAGCGCCCAGGGACTCAGGTTTGGCAGAAGTCCTGGGAAGAAGCTATTCAGTGGGGTCCCTCTCCAGTCAGGTCTAAGCCAGCAGAAATCCCACTTCCCTCAGGAGTGACCCAAGTAGTTCTTTATTGACTTGCCAAATCCCTCTTTGAACCTGGTTCCTTCTTCAAAAGGGCTCTACCCTGGGGACACCATTGTGTGGACGTTGGGCCAATTTTTGTCTTCAGATCTTGTTCCCTGCGAGGGAACAGACCCGTCCTTCTTGAAATGTTCGCTCCCTTCCCCCAACTCTTCTTTCTGAAGTGCAGCTGATGCTGCAAGCAGCTTCCTCATTCCCAAACAGCTCTGCAAGAGCTGGTTTGCCCTCAGAGGCAGCCTGCACAGTCGCTGTGACAAACCAGACCAAACCCCAGTCTTCAGCTTTGCCATTCAGGGGCCATGCGGCGGTTAAGAGGCCGATGCTGCAGAAAGGCATTTGAAAGAAGCGATCTCCCTGGGTTATTTCCAATTTACAGCAGATGAAGAACTGTTTGAGAAACCAAGAGGAAGCAGCATAGGATCTGCCTCTTTTCACATACAAATGAGCCTCACAGAGCCTAAATTATCTCTCTCATCCCTGCCGCAGGGCTGGGTCTCCACATCTGGCTTGGAGCACACCCGGATGACAAGGAGCTCTTCTGAAAGACTCCTGGTCTTTGGAGACCTCTGATGCTTAACCTTGGGAGGTCAAAATCTCTTATCTCACATTTCTGAGGGGAAAGGATCTCTCCTCATGATGTCAAAGGCATTGGGCTTGTGGAGGGAGGGCAGGATAGCAAGGTGGGGACCTAAGAGGACGAGTGATCCCTGTTCAGCTGTGCTAAAGGAAGAGCAAGCTCCTGCTTCTGGGTCAGGTAGAAATGCTGACTTGTGATCAGGGAGGGAAACTCGGGATGGGGATCTGCTCTGCTGGCCGGGGTGCCTTCCCTCTCCCCATGCACAAAGTGGTGTGAGCTTTACTCACACATCCCAGGCTGGACTAGGAGCTCATGTTAGGTTTTCTTATGGAGACTCTGTGTGCCTGGGATGTAGCACCTCTCCCGGCGGCTCTGGGTAAGCACCAGGTCGTTTCTTCAAAGGGCTCTGACTGTCCTTATTCCCGCTTCCCATTCCCATTGTTAAAATCACTAAAACCAGCAAAGATCAGATCAGCAGCCTCTGTAAACAAGTGGTGTTTGGGGAAAGGTGAAGACAGAAATAGGTGCTCCTTGGGCACAGTCCGGCTAATTCCTTAAATCTGATGCAACTGGAGTATCAGGTAAGGAGACATAAACTGCCTCTGCGTTAGGAGGACACACACACACTCGCACTGCCCCAGCTAACCCAGTTCTGACCTTATGCCCACTCAGCAGCTTTCCAATGGATTTGAATTAAGACTCTGGATTTATATTGTAATTAATTGCTGTTAATAAAAAATGCCACTGGTTGTTGCTATGAGTTCAAAACTTGCATTGTCTCATGGGCAGGGCCCCAGTGAAGTGAGAGTGGAGCCATTCTTGGGGGGTGATGAGGCTCTGGGGCTGCCTCCTCTGGCCCGCTGAGCCTCACAGGTCCCAGCATCTCCACCACCCTACCTCCAGAAAGCAAAAGGCACCCGACGCTAGCACCTACAAGCCATTGCAAGGAGAAGAGCCTGCGGACTTACGGAGGAAATATTCTGCTGTATCGGCTTCATAATCTGCATCCTCAGGGAAGTGATCGATTTGCTTACACAGACCTTTAAAATTCCCTAGGGAACAAGAGAAAAAAAAAGAACAAATGAGAACACCAAAACCTGCCTCGCAGGAACAGCTGCCCTCTGCGTTGCCCTTTGTGCCCGCCCTGCCTTCCTACCAGGCAGCGTGCACGCTTGTGTATGGATGCCCATTAGATGCTCAGGTGCTCTCCTTGCACACTCGCACACGTATCTCCCTCTTTGTTTGCACGGGAACAAGGGACTCGCCGCCTGGGTCCAGCCCGATGCCCACCTAGCCCAACGCCCCTCGCTCAGCAGTGGAGAGAGCACCAGAGGCTTTGGCCGGCAGGTCTGACTCCCGCTGTGGAAGGCCAGGAGGGCAGTGCCCACCTCTGAGGGAGGTGGGATGGGAAGAGGAGCCAGAGACTGGGTGGCGCTGTGAAGCACCCTCAACATCGACTGGTGCAACTGTGGGTGTTGGTGTTTCACCGGGCGCGGCCTCAGTGGATCCCAGCAGTGGTGTGTACAGCGGGGTGATCAGGTTTGGGTGGGAAAGCATTTGTTTCTCTCAGCTGTGAATTTGCTGCCTATTCATTTCACGGGCAGGATACATCCTGTTGTTCTGGTGTGGTACGAGAAGAACAAAAGCTTTTAATCTATTTTCTCTGTATGACTGCTTGTTTTTGCATACCTTTATCAGGCCTCCTCTTGTGTCCTCTCACAGTCTAAGGCTACGAGAAGCTTGGTACAGTGTGTGTATGCAACTCAGCAGCAAAACACTCTTTGCACTGGGGAAGCAAGATCTTTCACACTGTGAGGGAAGCTAGGCTGGTCACCCTCAGTTTTGTCAGGCTGGTTTATGTACAGGGCCTTCTGCTAGCTTTAGTCATGGGGCATCCTTTTTCACACACTTCATGACCAGCAAAGCCATCCCAGCAGGAGGCCAGTGACATCTTCCCAGTCTTTTGTCATCTGGGATGTCTGTCAGGCTCTTATTTTTGTCATTTATGTCTCTTTCCTCTTGAAATCAGGAATACCACTCCAGAGAGGTAATGCTCAAACCGTGTCATCATCATGACCACTGGTTGACTAGTATCTCAAAGGATCAGGTTGTTCATGCCTGTACAGGGGTGACCATGTGGAAAGCAGTTTCATTATGCTTCCTGGGGCTCCCCAAAACTTTTTCTCCTGCCTTCCCTTACATTTTCCTTTGGAGTCTTGCACTGGCTGTCCATTTACACAGAACTGATGGACATAACCTGTCCAGAAAGGAGGAGTGCAGTGTCTGCATGAGGGAAGTGGATAGGCATGGTGGTCCCATGGGCCCCCTCACCAGAGGTCAGACACCAAAGTGGCTCAGTCGGACCGATCCCTCAGCAGAAGAGTTTGGAGCCTGAGTCTGGATAGTGACAAATGCTGTGACAACCTGGGAAAGCCACCTGCCACCCTGACCCTGAGCCCAAGTGCTGGACCAGCTGAGTGTGCAGGGTGAGGGGACAATGAAGCCACCACACTTGTGGTTGTTGCCTCTGGGGAGGGTTGCTTGTGGGGAACACAGAGTTCTTCCAGGCCAACCCTACCCAGCTGGTGACCTGTAGGAACCATGTCAGGTCCCCGAGTCATGTTTTGGAAGGTTTATTCCAGATGAATTCCAATGATCTTTCAGGTATTTGGGAATAGCTGGAAGAAGGACCAAGCTCAAAGGATTCCCCCTCAGTTTCTTCTCAAGGCCAAGACTTGCTGGAGCAAGATTTGGGATGCTTTGGGAGGCAGTGCTGAGCAAATAGCTGTAGAAGACAGGTAGGTGGGTTCCTCTAGGTCAGCCCCCAAGCTCAGCTCCTTCTGCATCCAGTCAGCTTGTGTCTGATACTTCTGAGATATCTAGTCCCTTTAACTACTGGTTCAAAGAGTTTCCATGAAGAGACTAGAGACAGCAGAGAGGAGTGTGTGTGTATGTAAGAGGTGAGTAACAGGAGAAGAAAGTAGGAACAAAGCCTCTCCGTGCACCTCTGAAGTGTTATTGCTACACTGAAAGTGTGTGTTATGAAAGGAGGTTATTAATCACCCATCCCCAATCCAGTTACCTTGTTCAAGAAGTATCTGCTTCTCAGCCATGGCTCTTCTGGAAGGAAAGCTTCATAGCCAAGCAAATTCCCTTGCCACACTCTCACCCTGCTGCTTGCCCACTTAAATATCTGCGAGGAAGGCAGATACAGCATGAAGAGGGTCCTTTCCTTTGCTTGCCCCTGACTGCCTTGGGCCATCTGCCTGCGACAGACGAGCAGCTCATCCCCCCGATCCTTTGGCTGCGGTCACTGCTGCACAGTGCACGTGAACACTGCTGCTCCCCGAGGCACCAGGGAAGTCTCCAGCCTCAGATTTCAGCCCCTTGCTCAGCAGATTCTGAACGCCGAGTGCCTTCTCCCTGCACGCGCTGGGGGAGCGGGCAGTTTGTGTGCGCCTCCCCGGCGAGGCTCCCGGCACACAGCCAGAGCCCCGCAGTTGGAACCAGCCAGGGACAGAAGAGGCATTGCATTTGAACTCCCCCTCACTCTGTGTCATCTTTCCCCTCCTTCCTCTCTTCTCCCTCTCTTCTTGCTGTATTTGAGCCTGATTAATTCTTACGTGAAGAATCAAGCTGCTTGGGAAAGAGGCTGCATCTTGTGCAGGGTGTCTTTTACACGGGCTTGTGTGGGATAGGTAGTTAGAGGTTCAGCTGCTTAGGCAGGGTGAGGGGACATGCAGGCTCTTTAAAAACCTGCCCCTGGTGCTGTGTGTCCAAAAGACCTTGCTGATCTGGCTCAGGAGGGTTCTTGGCCATTGGGGGTGTCCAGCCTTGGCTTGCTTAAAATGCTGTGGCATCGAGGAGCTGCCCTTCACTGTGGGCTGACACGCTGAACCAGGCTGATCCTCCTCCCTGCCTCAACACTCTCAGGGCTCATGAGGGCAGGGTGGGCAGTGTTGGCCCCACTTTAGCCCCCGCTTTGCCTGTGCTCAGCACAGAGTGCCATGACTGTGGCTGCTGACTATTCGCCTGTGCTACCACAGCCTCCCCTCCAATGCCTCCTAGCTCCTCCGGGCAGTGGATGGGGAAAGGATGCAGAATTTAGGTCATTAATGCGCTAACTGGGAATATAAGAGAGCAAGATTCAGTTTTCGCTCTGCCACAGGCGTGCCGTTAAAACCACTTCTCTCTGCTTTAGAGTCCCACGCCGTACGATGGGGGTGACAACACTCCTCTGCCTCATGCCGTACGGGGACGTGTTAAAGAGGGCACGGTGTGGGTGCGCGGGTGCCGCAGGGGGTGGGCGATGGGTGGCGGCGGTTCAGAAACCCGCTCGGTGCGGGGAAGGCCTCGATGCCACTCTTCTCGCGCCAAGGTCACTCGGCAATTCTCTGACAGACATCTGTGGCCTGCTGAGATGGTGCAGCAGCCTCCCTGGCACCTGCGCCGGTGGAATTGCTGCGGCCACACGCGGGGAGGGGGATGGAGCGGCTCAGCAACGCTGCTGAGGTCTGACACAACAGCCTTTTGCTGTGCTGCACGTGCAGTTTGCAGAGCCCAGGAGGATAGAGCCGTGTGCCACCCTATAGTTAATACTACTGAATGCCTGAGAAAGAGCAAACCATTGTTTGGGAGGGTGTGTAGGGCTCTGAGAGCCCCTCAAGGGAGTAAGAACAAAATCTCCTCTGTGCCTGTGTCCCTTTGCCCTTCCTGTTCTTCCTGACTTGAGCTGTTTCACGCTGTGAACCCTGAAACAGGCAGATGTTGGGCTCTCTGGCTTCTCCCGCACGCCTCTCAGAAACTTAAGCTGCTCACTTCCACCTCCTCCTTGCAGCATTCCCAGCACAGTTCGGGCTCTCCCCTCACCCTCTTTTTCGTGCTCACCCACCACATCTTCCTCCCGTTTCTTAGTCTCTCTCATCCATTACAGTCAGCTCCCTCTCCCTGGTGTATCGGTATCCCGAGCATCCTGCTTTGGGATGTGCAGGCTGCAAAGGAGGTGGGGGGAGCTCTGACTTGTCTCGGGACAGAAGACCTGGGGATGCTCAGGTCTGTGAAAAATCACAGAGCAGCGCCCAAGTCCCCTGGGTATAACTGGGAGTCCTCAGACGAGAGCTCTACTGTTTGCTTGTCGCCTGCCTAAGCTTTGGAAAATGCAGGCTCGAGGAGCTAGGACTGGTGAAACAGGCACCCCGTGCCCCCCCCCAGTACCTGGACCAGGACAGAAGTTGCTCAGCCAGGGCATTAAGAGCAGAGACAACCTGCCATACTGCCAAGAGGGATTGAATGTCAAAGATGCATGAAAATCAATGTTAACTGTGCACAGAGCCCTCAGAGAGACCTCCTTCAGTGTGGCTGGGTCACCGTTTGGGTACATGCTGTCTATCCAGGACAGCTGGCAGCCGTCAGCTCTGCTGCAGTGAGAGTCAGACCGAGTTACCCCCGATGAGAACCTGGCTCGGTATTGTTGGTGATACAGTTTATTTTTGTGCTGCTTTGTGCAGCCCTGTCTCTTTCAGAAGTCCCGCTTGCCTGCAGAGTGCAATCCATCACAAAATAGTAAGTTCCGAAGAATGAAAAGCTACTCCCTTCCTGCAGGGTAGGAACACTTTTAAATGTTCAGGACTGTACATCTGAAAACTGGGAGCCAGAGGCAGAGGAAAAGACGTCCAAAAGGAGAGAAGCAGACAAAGAGGGACAAGAACAGAAAGACCTGTTTTCCCAGAATGATTTGTGATATTTCCATTTATGGAAAAAAGCAATCCACTGAAAGCTTTCCTTCAGTCTCACTCTCTAATTTAGCAGAGGTTTTGGCATGATGGCTCATAGAGAAATAAATAAAGGGGGCTGTTGTCTCTAAAAGCTCAGAAAAATGGCTTGGAGTTGGCCAAGGATTCAGTACCTCTTTCTGCCACACATTCCCTGTATCACTTTAGGCGTCACTTAACTCCCCTCTTCCTTCACTCAGAATGGGAATAATGGTATTTCCCTGCTTCAGGGAAACAGCCCGAGGATATTTATATGAAAAATATGAAAGTAATCAGACACT